TGATAAGCGATATTAATGATGCAGTTGTTTACAATACAACCGGAGCACACGCCGCTGAGGAGAGGGGCGGGACGTTTAGACGCGCACTAGAGGCGGTTTAGCCAATCACAACACACTGGGCTAGCTAACCAATCAGAGCCCATCACCTATTTCTGAGGGAGGGGCTTCATAAAAGAAGGAAATGATCAGCATGTTTCTCAGAGAAGGGACAGAGCGGTGTGGAATAAAGGAAAATTATGTGAAAAATAATGTTTTTTAAAAAACAAAGCGTTAACACATGTTAGACTGCACCCTATAAACACAATCAAGCCACTGAACCACCCATTTAAATATTAGTTTTTTATTACTTTAGGTTTTATTAATTTTATTTCAGTTCTAGGAATTCTAGTATTTCAACTTCAACTTATTTGATTTTTCTAACTTTTCAAATTTTTCTTTTAAGTTTATTTCAGGTTTTTCATCTAATATTTATATTTTATACTGAAAACAGTTTTAATAGACTAACACGAAGAGTTGTATTTTTATTCACTAACATGAATAAAATGATTAATAAATATTGTACTGCTTATTGTTAGTTAATTGTTAATGTTATTAACTAACGTTAACGAATGGGACATTTTTGTAAAGTGTTATATTTTCAGTTTTCATTTTAATTTTAGTTTAAGTTTCAGTAATTTTATTATGTGCTTTTGACATTTTTATTAGTTTAATTTTTTCATTTATTTTAGTTTTAGTTTTTAGAAATTCAACTTATTTCAGTTAGTTGTCATGGCAACATTTCTAATTAAGTTTTTTTTGTTTTTTTCATCTAATATTTATATATTAGACCATTTTCTTTCTTTCTTTTTTTGTATTTTTATTCCTTAACATTAACAATGATTAATAAATACTGTAACATGTATTGCTCGGTGTTAATGTTATTTAATGCATTAACTAATTGTTTCTGATATTTACAGATAACTTGATTTTTTATCTGTTATCTGGTTTAATACAAGCTTGATTGTTGATCTGTGATACTTGCTAAGCAGCACTAATAGATGATTACACACAGCAGATCTGATCATGGGAAGTGTTGTTTTGGAAATCCAGTCACTATTTGAATGTAAACCATTTCAATCGGTGTTAATTAGATGAGTTTTGTCAGCATCTCCTGTGTAACTTCAACAGGCTTCCTCCAGGTTTGCTGCCTGTTTTTCTGCGGAAATATATTTATGTTTTTAATCCTTTTTAACGACTTCCTCTTCCTGAGGCTCTTCCTGGAAACGCAGATTCACAGCTTGATCAGAGAACAGCTTGAAAACTGTCTGACACGCATCTCAGTCTATTTACTTATTTTTAAAAACAAAATATTTAAATATTGTCTAATTTTAAAATATAGTTTTTTTCTTGTATTTAATTTAACTATGTTGTTTACGGTGTTTTGTAAAATGTATTTAAAAATATTATATATAAATTAAAAATATGTATTTATTTTTAAAAACTAAATATATAAATATTGTCTAATTTTAAAATATAGATTTTTTTCTTGTATTTAATTATTTAAAAACATTATATATAATTAAAAATATGTTTTTATTTAAAAAATATATATAAATATTGTCTAATTTTAAAATAGATTTTTTTCTTGTATTTAATTATTTAAAAACATTATATATAAATTAAAAATATGTATTAAAAAAACAAAAAATATATATAAATATTGTCTAATTTTAAAATAGATTTTTTTCTTGTATTTAATTATTTAAAAACATTATATATAAATTAAAAATATGTATTAAAAAAACAAAAAATATATATAAATATTGTCTAATTTTAAAATAGATTTTTTTCTTGTATTTAATTTAACTATTGTTTACAGTGTTTTATAACATGTATTTAAAAATATTATATGAATTAAAAATATGTATTTATTTTTAAAAACAAGATATATAAATATTGTCTAATTTTAAAATATAGATTTTTTTTCTTGTATTTAATTTAACTATTGTTTACGGTGTTTTATAAATTAATTTAATATAAATTAAAAATATGTATTTATTTTTAAAATCAAAATATATAAATATTGCCTAATTTTCAAAAAGTATTTTTTAAGTAATTAATTAATTAATTAATTTATGTATATATTTATCCAGTTAGTTATTTAGTAATTTCATTTGCTTGTATTTATTTTAACTAAGTTGTTTACAGCATATTTACATTAACAGTGTGTTATAAGAATTATTAAAAATATTGTCTATACATTAAAATCAAATCAAAATAAATAAACTTTGCCTAATTTTCAAAAAATATATTTTCAATATTTTTATTTATTCATCCAGTTAGTTATTTATTAATTAATTTTTCTTGTAGTTATTTTAACTATGTTGTTTACAGCGTATTTACATTTACAGTGTGTTAAAAAAACACTTTTTTTTTTTTTTTTGGGCCGTTCGAGAAAGCGGATTTTATGGGTCTGCTTCCAAACAGAAGTAAAGTGCGGTTCGAGGCACTCTGTGAAAATAGCTGTCAGCATCTGGTCATACTAATAAACTGATAATGCAGCTGTTCTGCGCCGATGTTTAGCTCTATAATCCTGCTCTAAACAGAAACGAGACGCGCTTCCAAGCTGAAAAAATATAAAGCATTGCAGAAAATCTTCCATCTGATGTTACTCCTGCGCAGAAAGAAAAAAAACATTCAGTGCAGAATCAAAAATGTCTTGCGCAGGAATAAGCAGCGCTGATTAATCAATGAGATAAAAAGCTCATCCTAAAACACTATGGATTGTTCAAGTTCACTTTAAGGCCCTCAGATGACACATTATGCCTAGTTTTCTTGAACTCTCAACATAAGCTATCAAGTTATCTAGACACAAATAATGCATGATATTTCTAGCTCATGCATGCTCTAAATAATAAGTATTTACATCATTTATGTCTGTTTTAGTTACCAAAGAATGTCTTTATAGTTTGTGCACTGCTCAGTTCTGACCATCAGAAAGAGATATTGCTCAGCAAGAAGAAAAATTACAGAGAGTATTGAGCGCAGATGTTTAATGTTCGTCTAATGACTGAGAGACTTTCCGCAGATCTGATGATAGTTCGAGCTCTCAGGAAACATCTTATCCAGCTTATCCAGATTGTGTTTCCCTCTAGATCAGGCCTATATTCACTCTTACACGTCTTTTTAAACGAGGCCAAAACAATTCCATAGTTGTAAAGATCATGTATATTTATTTTGGCTTTATTATTGCTGCTCTAGTAGATGAAATAACTCATAGCAGTTTCTTAATGCCTCTGTTTCTGAAACGGAAAGAAGATCGGCTTCCATGTTTTTAGTCTCTCCTGATGTGATTATTAATAGTTTGGCTTGTGCTTTCGGGGCAGATGAGAGCGACCGGATGTCTCAAATTATGCTGCAGAGATGTGGGCGGCTTAAGGGGGGAGGGATCGGCATTCTGGGAAAAACTCTTTAACCGTTACGCCGTGAATATTTTCTCAGCAAACATTGCCACTAATTATTTCACACTGCCAAACATGGTGAATAAACTCAGGAGTAAACAAACATGCACGCAGCCTTGTCGGTTTGGTTAATGAAAACAAACTTTAATCACATTTAACTTTCAGCAATCTGTCATAGATTAGAACTGCGTTCGACTACTTTTACTGTAACATTCAGATGCTTTAAAGCTGAAATGTATCACTTCTGAAACACTGAAAAAATGGCACTTCGGCTTTAACCCAATGTTAGTTCTTCTATTAGTTCTCAATGTTGTCGGTGATGCCGATAATGTAAAAATGGCCAAATATCATCTGATTAATCATCTTAGTCCTGGTTTCATAGAGAGGGCTTAGGTTAAGCCAGGATTACGCAAAGTAATTTTTATAAACGTGCCTTAGAAAAAAACATTACTGGCGTACATCCTGAGACAAAACAAAGGCACTGACATATTTTAAGATCAATCAGTGCAAGTTTCTTTCAGTTGAAACAGCTCAGATTTACATTTTAGTCTGGGATTAGGCTTAAGCCTTGTCTGTGAAACCGGAGGATAATGTCTGTATGACTTAACTGAAGCTCTATGTAAAGTTTTGCCAGTTATGGGCTGGGTGCATGCGGCTATTTAGAGTCATAACCTGCTAAATAGAGCCAGACCAGTTTATCAATGTGCTGTTTAAACCTAGAAAGGACTTCATAAACACATAGACTGGTGAATGGGCGTCGGAGGTGAAGGGTGAGTCCAGCGTGCCACCCGTGAGAGCGTGCTTTGTGTGAGCGTGTGTATTTTGGGGTGTTGTAATGAATAGTGAATAGGGTTAAGTGTGAGTGTGTGTGTGTGTGTGTCTGTCCAGCTGTGAAGGAAAGCCCTTTACACAGACTGCTCATTGAAAACCTCTCAGCGGCCCAACAGCTGTGTGTTTGTCACTGAAATCACTCCCTGGACTTCCGTGTGTTATCATTTTGTCTTCATTTTTTACTTTTTGTTTATTCCTTATCCTGATCTTTGAATAGCCTATATGTTTTCCTGAACCTATAAAGATAGCAACATCAATGTAATGGGTTCGATTCCCAGCAAATGCATAAACTGGTAGAAAAATGCATGGATAAAAGTGTCCGCCAAATGCATAAATGTAAACCAAATTATAACTTTCTGCTCCATCCTTCAGTTTATCTGTGCGTTTTTGTCTATGAAATATCTCAGCAAGTAGCTCTAGCCTGTTGCTGTCTGTTTCTCTACTTCTCTTTTTCTTGGCTGCTTAGGCAAAACAGGAAGTCATCTGCTGGCCCACTTAACGTACTGTAACACTTCCTGCTCAGGGAAGCATAAAGGGGTCTGTGTTGTGTTTTTCTGTTTTCATCTTGAAGTCAATTTGGCTTCTGTAATGTGACTTATTTTAGAGCAAACCAAGATATAGAAAGAAAAGAAGGGCAGGAATTAAAAAAAATTATAATTGAAAACAAAGAGTTTACACTGCACGTCATTTATATTTATGCATTTTGCAGATGCTTTTATCCAAAGCGACTTATATTGCATTCAAGGTACACATTTACATTATATCAGTTCATGCATTCCCAAATCGAACCCTTGACCTTGGCGTTGGTAGCGCCATACCCTACTGTTTGAGCGCGAAAGCCACTTGTTAGAGAACACTTCGAATGCATTGATTTCAGTAGACATCGAAAGGTCTGCAAAAGTCACATTTCATCCAAACGTTGAATTTGAACTTTTCCTGAAACACATTCTGACGTAGGCATAGAATGACCAGTGAAAATTTCAGTTGAGTGCTCGAAAACCCAATTTGCTGTATTCCCAATTGATTTCAAACTGCTCCGGCTCTTTCTGCACCCTCAAATTAGACTTGCGCATTCCTATCTGTCAAACTTTCCAACAGAGCTTTGTGCAGTGTTTAAGCAGCATTTGTGGTTTAGGCATTTGGTTGTGGAGTGTTGTCTTGGCCTTGTAAACTAGCAACGGTTTTGAGACACTCATGAGCAGTGCTAACTAAAGAGCGATTGACATATGTTTTTATTCAGCACTTCCAGAGTCATGCAAGCTAGAAGAGATAATGCACAGAGCCGATCTGGAGGGCACACGGGAGTTATTCATGGCTTCTGGAATTGGATAAGATATTTGGCTAACTGTGTGTCACAAGCCACGTTCATAATTTCAAGAGGGGAAAGAACAGACAGAGAGGGGGGGGGAACAGGGGAGGAACTTGGAGAAACTTCCAGATGTGCAAGAGGGGAGGGAGAAGGAGATGGTAAATATCTGCAGCCCTCCTCTCGATGTCTGTTTTTGGTCTTTTTTTTATTCTTTCCAGTCATCCTCTCTCTTCGCTGCTCTCTGTCCATGTATGTCACTGTAAACTCATCTCAGAAATGTTGTTTTAGGGAGGAATCAAACCTTGTAAAGGTTAATCGCCCCCAGTTTCACTTTTACTTGTGGTATTTGATATTTCCATGTTTTGCAAGTCTCCATTGGTCCATTCTTCAAGTTAGTCACTCCAATCCAGACAAATATTTCAGCACCAAATAAGGCCAAAAACTCCTGCTATGGTAACGATTGCTGGTTTCTTTCCTCTGCCTTAGAAGTGACAGGGAAGGTGGACCTTTTCCAAAGTTCTTCATCAACTGCATCCACCACAGGCCATGCTGAGACAGAGAGCTCCACTGTGGAGGAGTGTACCAGACGCTCCCAGATCACCGTCTCCAAAAAACAGAACTGGGCCAAACTTCCCTCTACAAGCAAAGACCCAGCCAGCACAGATCTGTGTACGAGCCTGGTCTATGGGCCACAGGACTGGGATTTGTGCTCAGGAAAGGCTGAAGTCTCAAAACAGGCCTGGAGCCAAAGGACTTTGAGTGAGGATGGTTTGAAGAGGAAGCGGAAAGATCTGGAATTGGAGTTTGGATTTTCCAGGACACCATGTGACTCAGTTGACACCGGTTTACCGGAGTTGACACCTCCGTCTACAGCCTATATGGATGCGTGTGACTCTTCCAGCTCAGCGAAGATCTCTGGGCAAGGCGCCTACCTCCAGCACCTGGACAGGAGTAGTCGGGCCTGGGTACTGTCCACAGGAAAGCCCCAGGCATCAGATGAAGTCCTCCCAACCAGAATCACAGAGTTGCGGCAGGGCCCAGACAGAGATGGAAACATTTGGTACAACCCCATTCCTGAAGAGGATGACTCGAAGGCCACTGGAGGAACGACTCAGGAAAAATATGGAGATCCGTGGAGAAAGAGAAAAACTGAGGAATCGGCAAAGGAGAAAAGAGACCAGAAACAATCAGGGGGTTTGACTCCCACCGGCGTCCATCAAATGAAAGAGATTCAAACTGAGGCCGACGTCATCAGGGCGGATAGTTCGGGTATGGTCAGGTTTTTTCCATTATGTAAGAGTTTGTCACAAGCTAAGCTGCTTTGCCAGCATACTTGCATTTCACACAGCTGGTCTTAAAACTGAGGTTAAAATGAGCAGTGCTGTTTCGAAACGATATTTAAAGCAAGGAGACAGAAATGCTGTGCTATGATTGGCATTCACAAATTTTGAAAAATAGGATGGGAATCAACCACATTACATGTAATTATAAGTTCTTTTCCTAAAACCTAGTGAGCTGCCTACTAGACAGCATTTTAGGTGTGCCCGAGAGGTGAAGGCTGTTCCAAAAGGTAGGTGGCATACTTGTTATTGTGCTGCCTTCTAAGAAACCTTCTTTTTGGTCCAATTTTATTGCAGCAGTCATGGAGAAGCCAATCCCAGAATGCAAATAGTTCAACATAATAAAAAATTGACTGCTTTACTCAGTATTTGTGTGTGCATTTTTATGTTAACCAGAGTCACGTCTGTAGCTTAGTGACATGCTAATGTCAAGCTCTGTTGGAAAGCAATGTGGGTTGATTCTCTAGAGCACTTGATATGTGAACTGCTGTTTTACTGGCTGTGTAGAGCAGTTGTTCCGAACCACGTTCCTGGAGCCCCCCAAACACTGTCCTTAATCAAACACACCTGATTCAGGCCATTAGCTCATTAGAAGTGACTCCAAGACCTGAAGTGGGTGTCTCAGACAAAGGAGACTACAAAATCTGCACTGTTGTGACTTCTCCAGGAACATGGTTGGGAACCACTGATGTAGAGAAGGGCTAGGCAACTCTGGCTGTCGAAGGCCCACTGTTCTGCAGAGTTTAGTTCCAGCCCTGATGGAACTCACCTGTCTGTAGGTTCCTAGTACCCAAAGACCTTGGTTAACTTGAGGTCCAGAGTTGCCCACCTCTGATGTAAAGCAGTGGTTCCCAACCACTTTCCTGGAGCCCTACCAACACTGCACATTTCTGCTTAATCAAACACATCTGATTCAGGTCATCAGCTCATTTGTAGAGACTCCAAGACCTGAAATGGGTGTCTCAGACAAAGGATACTGCAGAATGTGCAGTGTTGGGGGCTCCAGGAATGTGGTTGGAAACTACTGATGTAGAGAAGGGCTGGGCAACTCTGGCTCTCAAAGGCCCACTGTCCCGTAGAGCAGGGGTGTCCAAGCTTGCTTCTTGAGGGCTAGCGTCCTGCAGAGTTTAGCTCTAACACACTTGTTTGGATGTTTCTACTGAGTATGAAGACCTTGATTAGCTGGTTCAGGTGTGTTTATTTAGGGTTGGGACTAAACTCTGCAGGACAGTGGCCCTCCAGGAGCAAAATTGGACACCCCTGTTGTAGAGTTTAGCTCCAACCCTGATCAAACTCAACTGTCTGTATCTTTCTAGTAATCCTGAAGAACTTGATTAGCTTGTTCAACTCTGCAGGAAAGTGGATCTTGAGGTCCATAGTTGCCCACCCCTGATGTAGAGTGTTCCAAATCAGTTTATGACAGGACTGTCCAATCTAGCTCCTGGAGGGCCACCTTCCAGCCGAGTTTAGCTCCAGCCCTAATTAAACCCACCTGGCCAGCAAATCAAGGTCTTCAGGATCTCTAGAATCTTCCATTTATGCTCCCAAGGTTCCATTTCTGTTGTCCAGTATGTTGCCTGTGTAGGTAGTAAACATCAAGGCATCTCACTAGGTTTTGGAACAGACTTGTACCACAAGATACTAGAGAGCAACTTTTACTTGCCTGTCAGAGCTTAGGATCATCTTAAAGGTTGTAATTCCTTGTAAGTTTCTAACATTGTGTGTTTCTTGCGGTTTAGATCTGGTTATGCTACAGTCGGACTGTATTAGCTCTGCTAGTGGTGTGAACTCTGACAGTCCCGGGGCACCAAAGAAAAGCCCGGGAGAGGGTGGAAGTGGCAGCAGTGTGATCGACAGGATCAAGTCTCCAGGAACAGTGCGGCGGCTTTCTATGAAGATGCGGAAACTTCCGGAACTTAGGCGGAAGCTTAGCCTACGCTCGTCCCGTAATCAGCGACACGGTCAAGGGAACACCAGCAGTGCACCAGGAGCATCCGATGAGGCTTCACCACCAAGTACATGCAAGGAATCATCCAACGTCATCAGCAAGTACCACCTGGACTCCAGTGCTCCTGCAAGGCCAAGGCGTCGATCCTCTCGAATGCGTTCTTCTAGTAAGGGAGGTTATCTTAGCGATGGAGACTCACCTGAACTCTTGCCAAAGCAGGGCTCGGGCCAGGGGTCAAAAGGGTCACCTACACCACCACCACACCGTGGACCACAAGATTCACTAGCTGTGGTAGATGCAGAGTCATTCCGCTTGTACTCGCTGGCGGATCAGCCTCGCTGTGCTCAGAGGCTTTCGGGGCTGCTCACAGTGCATCTGCTGGGCGTCGACGAGCTGCTACGATCCCCTCGGACCGACACTACTAAAGAAGTCTTCTGTGCCATTCAAGTGGATGGGGTGACCCGGGCTCGAACGTCCCTGCTCACCTGTCGAGGGGCGTGTCTCCCACTAAACCACACCTTTAACCTGGAGCTCGAGAGGGCGCGGCTGCTCAAACTGATAATTTTGACGCCAACTGCTTCCAGCGCAAACAACAACGGCTCTGCCGCGCCTGCTGCTCCCGCACGTAACCGGGTGTGCTGTCTGGGTGCTGTGGCTATACCGCCTCTCTTCAAGGGTAAGAGAACAACACATTTACAAATCAAGTCACAAGGTGAAACCGATAGTTCCCACTCTAAATTCTGACTGGATGAGCCATTTTTTAAGCTATTTTAAGATTGCAAGAAGTACATCAGTTGAATTCTATAGTAACTCTACTTCATGTTTAGCCTAACAAACCACCCCTTAAATTTGGCACATAATCATCCATGCATATATACAGTGGGTACGGAAAGTATTCAGACCCCCTTAAATTTTTCACTCTTTGTTATATTGCAGCCATTTGCTAAAATCATTTAAGTTAATTTTTTTTCCTCATTAATGTACACACAGCACCCCATATTGACAGAAAAACACAGAATTGTTGACATTTTTGCAGATTAATTAAAAAAGAAAAACTGAAATATCACAAGTCCTAAGTATTCAATAAAAAATGTTTTAACCAAGATGTCACAATCTTTTCTTTGGTGACGTATCCCAGATTTCTCCATTCTTTTAGTCCTCATAAACCCCGCCCCATTCAGCTCTGCTTCCATCCAATCAACAGCTGGTGGATTGAACCAAGTCCCGCCCTACGTTAATCAAATGTCTAACGATACGATGTATCGATGCCACGAGTAAAATAACGATACATGTAGTATATATAGGCACCTTATTTTGGCACTGTCCACTTTCACTCAATGTCAGTCTATGCATTGAGTGATGCGAGACGTTTTCTGCACACAGTGCCGTGCGCAAATACTGAATTGAGCTCTCTTCCTCTTTTTTGTGCTTGGATGAACAAATACAGACAAGATTACATCAACATGCAATATCCTTGCAAATACAGTCGGTTAGGCCTATGTCTTAACGTAAACAGTTGAGAAAGAAAACGCGTGTGTATCAGTAGGCTATATTGCATCTGTGCTTTCGCTCTTAAAGTGAAAGCAGACGAACAATAAACCTGCAGCTGTCGAAGAAAACAAAATATCTCACTGCTCTTGACTGAATAACTTTTGTAACTTTAATAAGGATTAATCTATATTTAATTTATACAATGAAGACTCTGCAGGGTTAACTAACTTAAAATTTCTTTTAGACCTACCTGAAAAACCTGAAAAGCACTGTTCATATAATTTGTGTCTTTGTTCTATTGTATTTATTTTCTGCTATTGCTTGTAATGTTTATCAAAACATTCTTATCACTGAACCCATAGTAGCAGCCAAAAAAAGTGTCTTAAAGATGTTTTAACAGCTTTTATTTTTGTAATGTTTTTATATATATTTTTCTACATTAATGTATTGTTTGTGCAACTGGAGTACCTCCTTTTTGTTTTTTTGTAATGAGGATTTACACTATTTTACACATTGCACATTTTATAGCACAGAAGCCTGAAATACTTTATTGACTGTTGTCATGTCATAAGATTACTGATCTTATGTGTGACATTGATTTTTTCCCCCCAATAATAAATTTTTCTTTATTATTAAAAAAAAAAAAAAAAGTGTAGGTCTTTTTTGTTGTTGTGAATGTCCCAAATGAGTTACAGGATGTGGAAATTTCAGATAAATTTTCATATTATCGATCATATCGTATCGTGACAAACCCTTTGATTTACACCCCTACAAATAACATATTTCGGCTTTCATCACTATTTATAAACAAAACACTAAATATAAACAAAATAAAAAAATTCAGCCAGTGAAGTTTCTGAAATTTGGTTGATTTGACAAGGAATGACCCCATTATATAATAAATTCTGTAGCACTGACACATTTCTACCATTGCACAACCATTAATCAGCCTTCACACCCAGCCATACCCTGCATTGGCTTGCGTCTTGCGTCTTGCCCTTATCTCTTTATCTTTTCTGTCTCTCGCTCCCGCAGCTTCTCGCAGTCAGCAGCTGTGTGTCCGTCTGGATCCTCGCGGTTTGCTGTATGTGAAGTTGACCCTTCTGGAGCAGTTCGTGACCCCGTTCCCCCGCCTCAGTGACCTGCCTCCCCCTAAAGTGTTTGGGGTGGAGCTGCGCCACCTGGTGGAGAAAGAGGTGTCTGCGCTCAGAGTGCCTCTGATCATTCAGAAGTGTGTTTCTGAGATCGAGAGGAGAGGACTCAGGGTGAGACGAGCTCAGATATCTGTCAGTGTGTTAAACGTGACTGTACTAATAGACTGTATGTGTTTTTGTAGGTGGTGGGATTGTATCGTCTTTGTGGCTCCGCGGCGGTGAAGAAGGAATTGCGGGATGCATTTGAGAGGGACAGTGCAGCGATTACCTTAAACGATGAGCTCTATCCCGACGTCAACGTCATTACCGGTCAGTCGGCCACAGACAACCATGATATTTACCATGGAAGCTTATTTCCATCATGGAATAATACAATGGTAATTGTGACATTTTTATCTCACAGTTCTGACTTTTTCCCCTCAATTATTTATTATTTTAGTATTTAGTATTTTTTTCTAAAGTCATCTGGGAAAAATTACAGAGGGTAAGGTTTGTTCTCTATTCCTCTTTTTGTTGGAGTCGAGGTTTAATATTCTACCTGATACTAGAGACTCATATTTTAATATCTCCCCAGAGCACCAGCGGGTTAAAAGGCTTCCCAAAAATACACCACATGATCAGCAGAAAAAGAAAAAAACCCTAAATAGAGATTTGAGCCTTCCAGATAACTTTTAATGTGGTTTAGATTTGATTTATTGGCCTGAAATGGTTCTTAAAAATGCCATGATAAATTTAGAAGTGTTATACACATCCTTTATATTAATATTAGATTTACGATGGACCTGGAAATGTTTTTTTTTTTCTTTCGTGCAAATGCTTTGCATGAATCTAGTAGGATATTAAGAAAGTGATAATTCAAAACTAGATTCGCATTTTCTGAAGGAAATTCAGAGCATTGAAAATACTGGTTTAGGTAAGGATTTATTTCTGTGGAAAATGAACCAGTACAGCAGTATCTTTACAAATAAAATAAAAAAAAAATAAAAAAAATAAATAAAAATAAAATAAAATAAAATAATAAAATAAAATAAAATAAAAAATAAATTTTTTTTTTTACATATCTTTAATTTAGATTTTTTTATGTATTCATTTTATTAAATTTTTTTAATGCATTATTTGTGTTTTTTTTTTTTATACTTTCTGAAGATAACTCTCCTATAATGAATGATTCTCTCCTATTCAACAACAATGGCTGTTGTGGGTGGTTGCCAGGGTGTTGCTATGCTGTTGTTAAGGAATTCTGAGTTGTTTTTAGTATGTCACTTGCTAGATGTTTTTGGGTGGTTGCTAGGTCATTCACTGTTTAACACTGTGGCATTGCTGCTTTTCCAGAATTTAACCTATTTTATTATTTTACCTATATGTGTTGTGTTGCTTATAACAGTCTGCACTTAACTGACTTTGTAGTGTGACATTTGATATAGCTGATCTAAAAATGTGTTGAATTTAACAATACTGCTTTTAAAGTATTACATTTATTTTATAGCATTATTTTTATAATATTACATCATATATAATATTATAAAATGCCAAAAACACTCAACAAAATTACTAAAACTTTATCTAAATTTAACATATGAAAGCAAAAAATATAAAAATAAAATCTAATTCAAAATATTAACAAAAACTGTAATACTATCTAAAATGATACTAAAATAACACTGGGTGGAAACAAGCCTGACTTTTTTTCCTCGCATTTGCGAGTTTGTCATATTTTGTTGGAGAATTCTGAGTTTGTGTCTTGAAATTCTGAGAAAAAGTCAGAATCGTGAGTTAAAAAGTCTTTTTTCGCAGTTACCTTCGGTTGCTGAAACCTGCTTCCATAATTTAGTTGGCATATCCAGCTATTTGAAGGTAATTTTACAGTGGATTTTTGTAGATGAAAAGTTTGATTGTTTTGTAATGTTGTTGTCAGGCATTCTGAAGGACTACCTGCGAGAGCTGCCGTCTCCTCTCATCACGAGGACCCTGTATGAAGTGGTGTTAGAGGCCATGATGGTTCGACCGGCCTGCAGAAACACCAGCGACGCTCAGCGATCACAAAACACCGTCTCACTGCTGCAGTGTCTTCCTGAAGCAGAGCGGGTAATGCATCTGTCTGACTCTGTGTTTATGCTCACATGAGTCCAGTCTGATTTCAAGTTCTGAAAGTTCTTTTTATATGCCTTGTACATTCAACTTTAAAATCTGAATCATATAGTTGAGAATTTTTATAAAATATTAAACTGATAGATTCTAGAGATCCTGTGTGTGTGTGTGAGAGAGAGAGAGTGTGTGTGTGTGTGTGAGTGTGTGTGTCTGTGTGTGTGTGTGTGTGTGTGTGTGAGAGTGTGTGTGTGTGTGTGAGTGTGTGTGTCTGTGTGTGTGTGTGTGTGTGTGTGTGAGAGTGTGTGTGTGTGTGTGAGTGTGTGTGTCTGTGTGTGTGTGTGTGTGTGTGTGTGAGAGTGTGTGTGTGTGTGTGAGTGTGTGTGTCTGTGTGTGTGTGTGTGTGTGTGTGTGAGAGTGTGTGTGTGTGTGTGAGTGTGTGTGTCTGTGTGTGTGTGTGTGTGTGTGTGTGAGAGTGTGTGTGTGTGTGTGAGTGTGTGTGTCTGTGTGTGTGTGTGTGTGTGTGTGTGAGAGTGTGTGTGTGTGTGTGAGTGTGTGTGTCTGTGTGTGTGTGTGTGTGTGTGTGTGAGAGTGTGTGTGTGTGTGTGAGTGTGTGTGTCTGTGTGTGTGTGTGTGTGTGTGTGTGAGAGTGTGTGTGTGTGTGTGAGTGTGTGTGTCTGTGTGTGTGTGTGTGTGTGTGTGTGAGAGTGTGTGTGTGTGTGTGAGTGTGTGTGTGTGTGTCTGTGTGAGTGTGTGTCTCTGTGTGTGTGTGTGGAGTTTGTTTGTCCCGTGTGAGCAGCAGAACAGCAGCCTGAAGGTTTCCAGCATGTTCCAAAACAAACTCATTGGGAACCTTCTCTCACCTTCTGCTCTCATACACTTTTACTCTTTCTTTTCTCATCTCTTCTTCTTCACTTAGATGCATACGGGTCACTTTTAGGAGCTTGCGTAATTTTACTGTTTAAGCATCCTGAAGTCTTGAAATCAAAATGGGCTTGATTTACTCTCTCAATCTCTCTCTCTTTATATATATATATATATATATATATATATGCATCTATGTATTACTGTAGCTTGAATAGCAGTGAAATGCATATCAGTGTTATTTTAGTATCATTTATATACTATTATTATAGTTTTTGTTAATATTTGAAATTTTCTGTTTTCACTTTTACATTTTTATTCAACATTTTAGTAATTTAGTTGTTTTTGTCATTTGCACTTTCTTTAAATATTCGTAGTTGTCAAATTTTTATTTAATAATTTTAGTTAATTTCGTTTTTCGTTATTTTAATTAGTTTTAATTTAATTAGATTTTAATTAATTAATTTTACTTCATTAAGTGAATTAAATTAATATAAATGAAATTAGGTGAATTAGCTGAAATAAAATAAGTTTACTTTTTATATTTTATTTTATATCAGTTAACATTTATTTTATTTCAAATATATTTTTGATGCATATTCATTTTATTTCTTTAAAGTAGTTTGTGAAGCAGTATGCAGTGAAAAATGTTTCAAATGATAGTATGCCGTATGGTCATTGCTGTGTTAATTTAATTCAGTTTCTATCATCCAGTTATGTTAGAATTATATACGGTTATTTGTATTTTTAATCTAATTTTGAGTAAAAATGTCTGAGATTTTGTGAGCCCGATCAAATAAAGAGTCATAAAATGAGAGTTGAAAAATCACAGCTGATATTTCTGGGACATTTGTTGCACTTGAAATAAAAGCTCTAGTAAAGTGCATTGTGGGATACGGTACCCGATACTTCACATTTTGGCAAATGCATGCAAGTCTGTGTGATTAGAAACAAATCCTACCGCCTTTACCTTTAAATGGCATAGTACAGAAGTGAAATGTGTTGCTAATGCAGCTTGAGTAGCTCCTGTTGATTGATGGGTGTGTGTTTGTGTGTCTGCTGAAGGCGACTCTTTCCTTCCTGCTGGATCATCTGAGTCTGGTGGCGTCTTACAGCGACAGCAACCGCATGACGTGTCAGAATCTGGCCGTGTGTTTCGGGCCGGTTCTCCTGACGCCCACACAGGAGTCGTGGCAGGCCGGGATGACGGCTCCTGGATCAGGGGCCCTGGCGGGGTCCAGGGCCGGTCGAGGAGGCCGTAGTTTTGCACACAGTGAAGAGATCTCCAGCGCCGTGGACTTTAAACGACACATAGAGGCGCTGCACTGTCTCCTGCAGCTCTGGCCTGGTGAGTCTGTGTCCCAGCAAACTAGCATCATTTATTCATTTTAAGCCCATTTGACTTACTTTCTTCATATAATAAAAAAAATCTAACATTTTATTGATAATATATATATATATATATATATATACACTACCGTTCAAAAGTTTGGGATCAGTAAGACTTGTAATGTTTTTAAAGAAGTCTAACTTTTATTCAGCAAGGATGTGTTAAATTGATAAGAAGTGATAGCAAAGATTTATATTGTTAGAAAATATATATTTTGAATAAATGCTGTACTTTTTATTAATCAAAGAATCCTGAAAAAAGTATCGCAGTTTCCCCAAAAAATATTTGGCAGCACAACATTGATAATTCTAATAATAAATCAGCATATTATACTGATTTCTGAAGATCATGTGACACTTTATACTGGAGTAATGATGCTGAAAATACAGCTTTGATCACAGAAATAAATTACAGTTTAAAGGATATTAAAATAGAAACCATTATTTTATATTGTATTAATATTTCGCAAGATTACAGTTTTTTTTCTGTATTTTTGATCAAATAAATGCAGCCTTGATGAGCAAAAGAAAAAATAGTCATGCATTGGGTGATTTTACACACACTGAAAAAACAATTTTCACCCAAAAGTTGCTAGTAAATTTTTACAAACATTTACAAAGAAGCAGTAAGTAACATTGAATTAAAAATGAAATTTTGAAGAAAAAAACCTGAAATAGTATTTTGTTGTAAATGCACTCTAATTGTATTATTTGCAGTCATTTCTTACAGTGCAGATGTGACTTTATGCCATGCATCTTTCTTCTCTGAATGTCATCTGGTTTTGATTGTCGTTCCAGCGCCGCTGGACCATGCATATAATCTGATCATTACCGGTTGCACCTTGAATGTGTGAACTTTGAGCCTCATGTTACGCCGCGTGCGGTAGCTGAAACATGTTCTCATGACGCAGCACGTGTGCAACATGCATGTGACAGCTGTTGTGGATTTGCATGGCGCATCTGCCACATGTCAAGCGTGTAACGTGTTTCATGTTGTTTTCTTCGCAGTACCCAAAGGACGAGTGACGGATGACTCTCCGGCGTCCTCACTTCGCGCCGAGCTCCCGTCGGTTCAGGATGTGGTGGTGGTTTCCCGCAGGGGGCGTGGCCGACTGGAGAGCCCGCCCTGTAACCGCTACGCCGGTGATTGGAGCGTTTGTGGGCGGGACTTCCAGTCGAACGACGAGGCGGATTACGACGAGGTGGCAGGCAGCGAGAGCGACGACGAAGACATGGAGGAGCCGAAGAAGAGGGACATGTGGACGTCTCCCGAGGGTTTGTACGTGGACGAGTTTGCGCTCGACTTTGACGCTCCGTTCACGTGCCGATTGAGTCTGAAAGACTTCGACACTCTGATTTCAGACTTGGAGAGAGAGTTAGCCAAACAAATCAACATCTGCCTCTGAAGCAGGACTGAATGTGCATGCGTTTTAATACGCCGTGTGAAGTTAAAAATAGAGCAAACGCTTCTCGAGAGCCATGCGTTCTCTTGCGTGTGCAGTATTGACATAAAACAACAAACAGTGTGTGTGTGTGTGTGTGTGTGTGTGTGTGTGCGTGTGTGTGTGTGTGTCTGTGTGCGTGTCTGTGAGTGTGTGTGTGTGTGTGTGTGTATGTGTGTGATTGTGAGTGAGTGAGTGTGTGTGAGAGTGTGTGAGTGTGTGTGTGTGCGAGAGCCATGCGTTCTCTTGCGTGTGCAGTATTGACATAAAACGACAAACACAGAAATGTCAACGTAACAGTAAACATGAAAAGAAATACCATGTTTTCCGGAAATAAGTCACAGTGGGTTGAAATTGCATTAAGTGAAAAACAAAAAAACAAATAAAAGTTGAATCAGTGTATAAGTCACATTTTATTATTGCATTCAGAAAAAAGTTAATAACAGTAAATAAAATGAAATGTTTACAAACATACATAAACACGTATTTTAGTTCGTCTCACTTTGCAACAAATGTAACATTATTCAGAACAGAACTGGAATAGGAATATAAGTATAAAACAAACATAAATAATAGTGTCATTCATCATAAACAACATTTATTTTAAATGCCAAGCCTAAACTAAATTATTTAAAGTGAAACGTGTAGGAAATGTGTAGGAAACGTGCTTTATAAATAAACTTGAGCTCACATACCCTGTTTTGTGTGCTTGATTATATAAATAATGCAATTAATAAAAGTCTATGGAAGCTTGTTTATAAAAAGGTAATTGCAACGTTTTTCTCAGAATATATAAACTCTATATATACATGCAGAATTGCGAGAGATAAACTTGTGATTCTGAGAAAAAATAATTGTGAGAAGAAGTTGCAATTATTATTATTATTTTTTTTTACTTCATGTCATGGAAACAGAATTGCGAATTTAGGTTTTTTAAATAGAAATTTTTAGAATTGTCAGAATTGTGAGATAAAAAGTTGCAATTACGGAATTCATTGTGAGTGTGTGTATGTGTGTGAGTGTGTGCGTGTGTCTGTGTGTTTGTGAGTGTGTGTGCGTGTGTGTGTGAGAGTGTGTGTGTGTGTGTGTGAGAGTGTGTGTGCTCGTGTCACGGCGGGGACCTAAATTGAGGTCTCCACAGCTGTGTCTGTGTGCGAGTGTGAGTGTGTGTGTGAGAGTGTGTGTAATTACGGAATTCATTGTGGAAACAAATAAAAAACAGAATTCAGTTTTTATCTCACAAATCTAACTTTTTTGGAGTTTATAAAAAGAGCAATTCTCAAAATTGCAAAAATTGTGAGAAAAAAGTTGCAATTGCCTTTTTTATTTTATTATTCTTTGGCAGAAACAAACGTCCATAAAAGTCGCAGCTCATTTCAGAAGAGAAAAATGTGACTTATATTCCGGAAAATGTGGTAGATTTACTAATTGATATATTTTTTTTTGTCATGCAATAAATGTGTTTTCATGGTTGGGTATTTTTTGCCCAATCCCAGCGTTTCTGGTGCGTTTTGAGACCATTTTTTGAGAACATTTGATAGCAGCTACTGTAACATAATATCAACAAGCACAAAAACTATGATTTTTCTTAGTTGTTCTTCTGAAGGGGAGACACATATCGATTATTATAGCTGTATAATGCATTATAACGCAGTATAAACACTAGTTGTTAATGAGGTGCCCGATGCTGAAGGATTCGTCTGCGTCGGGTTTGTGTGAAGTGTCTCTTATTTAAAGCTCTGTGTACGACTCTTATTCCAGAGGGCTGGTGTTTGGGCCAAGATTTCATCACTCTTTCCAGCAGCGTTTCTCCGCCAGACTCTCTGCTGTGACGACTGCATGAAGCGCTTTTCTGACCAGCCTTAGTTTTACTCTGCAGTAAAGCTTTGTTTTTTCTCTGCCTAACGTTTAACGGTGAACGTATTTATTACATTCCTTTGAGGTCACGTCATAGGAACGTTCTGGGTTTGGTACAACTTGACAGCATTTGTGACATAATGTTGATTTGAGTTTGAGAACGAGAAGCCAAAGACAATATTTGACGTAACGGGGCTTCGGTAATTGATGTTATTTAAAGGTTAAGCGTGGCATTTCTAACGCAAATGGAAAAGCAATGACAACTTTTCCTAAAGACTCCTCCTGTCTGTCATTGGCAGTCAGACAGATAGTCCCGCCCTAAACTCACGTGATTGGATGAGTCAGATGTCACTCAAACAGAGTGTCACAATGTGACATTAAACACAGCATTTGAACTAATTCAAAAGTAACCCAAAAAAAAAGATAATTTTTAACTTGTACTGAACCCAGAACATTCATATAAAGCTGAATTTATGTTTGAGGTGCAAGTAGACAATCAGAGACATTTAATATAGTGTTCATTTTGACTGAATTTGCAGTTTATTATGCTAAAACGTTTAGATTCAGGTTTGTTTTTTCAGATTCATACATAAACGCTAAAATGACGATGCATCAGGACATGCACACGCACTAGGAAGTGTGCACTTATGTTTAACCTTGTGTCTTTTATAACCTGTATTGTCAAGCCAAAGACTGTTGTGATGATTTATGCACTTCTGCGTCTAGTTTTCTAGATTGTGCTTGTGCTGCTTTAGCTGATTTGAGATCAGTCTGTTACTGAGAGCAGCTTTATGTTTCATATCTGAGCACGGTACAAATAATCTCAACTGTGATTTGATTCTAAAAGCCACAAATGGAATATAAAGGCCATGACTGAGCTCACCAGCTCCTTATGCAAACCCTTTCACACGTTTTATTTGAATTCAGATTTGTTTAGTTGTATAAACAGTATTATTATATTCTATTATTGCACCTGTAACATTAAGCACTTGTCTGTGCTCATGCATAGCTAAACCGCAGCGATACACACGTGTGTGTGTGTGTGTGTGTGTGGATGAGATGTACCATTCAGTGTTATGTTAAAGAAATAAAGCACAGTGTTACGTTTCTACAATGTGTGTTTTCTCTGTATTCACCGTCCTAAATGTCATTTAAAGGGAAAGCTAAAGGAATAGTTCAGCCAGAAATGAGAATGTTTAGAGAAGATTAGGATGAGTTTGTTTCTTCATCAGATTTGTAGAAATGTAGCACTGCATCAGTGTCTCAGCAATGGATGCTCTGCAGTGAATGGGTGCCGTCAGAATGAGAGTCCAAACAGCTGATTAAAACATCACAATAATCCACAAGTAATCCACAGCACTCCAGTCCATCAGTTAACATCTGGAGAAGACAAAAGCTGAAACTAATACAGCATTAAGACGTTTTTAACTCAAATACGTGTCCATAATCCATAATAACGCTGCCTCCAGTGAAAATGTGTTCTGGTCTGAATCAGGAGAGAAATCTGCACAGATCAAGCAGCGTTTAAACAGCTCTAAACACATATGTGGCTGGATTTTGATGTGAGAGATACCAGGAGATGCACTTTTTCACTGGAGGAAGCGTTATTATGGATTATGGACTCGTATTTGAGTTAAAAACGTCTTAATGCTGGATTAGTTTCAGCTTTTGTCTTCTCCAGATGTTCACTGATGGACTGGAGTGCTGTGGATTACTTGTGGATTATTGTGATGTTTTTATCAGCTGTTTGGACTCTCATTCTGACGGCACCCATTCACTGCAGAGCATCCATTGCTGAGACACTGATGCAGTGCTACATTTCTACAAATCTGATGAAGAAACAAACTCGTCTACATTTTCAGCAAATGTTAATTTTGGAGTGAACGATTGCTTTGGAAACTTCATGTCGTTCCAAGCCTGCCCGCTGTTATGTCCGCCAAGGATTTAACAGTTTTGGTTGCTGTGAGTCAAACTCTGAAACCTCTAATAATGTGTTTATTATATTATTGGGATCATTATATTTATTTGTGGTGCTGACTGTTCACGTGTGCGTGTGTGTGCTGAGGTTTGGACTGAAGACTGACGAGTTGTTTCTGAACGAGTCTGACAAACACATTTATGCACACGTGAATCAGCACGCGGCTCATGTTTCTTCAGTTTAGAATACTAGTGTACTTCTTACTGCATAGTATGCACTGTACAGTGCAAGCAAACCACAAAGAGTTATGCATTTCTAAATGTGCAATGTTTGTGTTAGAAATAAAATAAAAAGTTAAATAGTATTCAGTGCATAATCAGTAATGAAGTTTACTGTATAGATTTATTAATATAATAGTGAACGACTGCAAAATCTGACGAGCAATGAACAGTGATATGAGTCATAAAGGCACTCGCATCATGAAACATGCATGTCACTGCTGTTGATCGGTAATCATTCATGTGTGTGTTTTCATCCCAGAGACAGATACTTCCTGTGTCTCGCTTCCAAACACTCGTCTCTCTTCTTCACCGCACTCCTGCAGAGAGAGAGCATGATGAATCTGAACTAACTTCACTGTGTTCCTGATTACTATGCAGCAGTTTCTGCCTCAGGTGAGTTTATCTGATGTGACTGTGGAACAGATCGCTAAAGAGACTCACTGAGAGGAGCAGACGCTGTTGTGACTGAGACGAGGCTGCAGGATCCTACAGGAGAAACAGAGTTCAGATCAGGTCAGTCAGGAGCTCATGTGCACACACAGAGAAATGCATGCTCTGATTCATGCTGTACCTCGCCGCTGAGCTCTTGGGAATCACCTTTGTCTTCTTTGCTTGCCTGAAAACAAATCAAATGTGACCCTGGAGCATAAAACCAGTCTTAACTGTCAATTTTTCAAAACATTATCTGAAAGCTGAATAAATCATCTTTCCATTGATGTATGGTTTGTTAGGATAGGACAATATTTGTCTGAGATACAACTATCTGAATATCTGGAATCTGACGGTGCAAAAAAATCTGAATATTGAGAAAATCATCTTTAAAGTTGTTCAAATGAAGTTCTTAGCAATGCATATTACTAATCAAAAATTAAGTTTTGATATATTTACGGTAGGAAATTTACAAAATATCTTCATGGAACATGATCTTTACTTAATATCCTAATGATTTTTGGCATAAAAGAAAAATGTATAATTTTGACCCATACAATGTATTGTTGGCTATTGCTACAAATATACCCCAGCGACTTAAGACTGGTTTTGTGCTCCAGGCTCACAAATCAGAATCAGAAAGATCTTTATTGCCGCATACGAGGAATTTGTTTATTAGATTATGTATTAAATCAGTAAAATTATGTTAACAGAGATTCATTTCTTAACATTACTTCACTAAATTAGTCAACATGAACTTCTACAGAATTTTTTCATCTTGATGTTAATTTCAGCATTAACACATTTTTACAATCAAATGTTGTATCTGTTAACATTATTAATGCACTAACATGAACAAACAATAAATAATTGTATTTCTGTTAAGTACTATTAAAAAAAGATGCTATAAAAATGCATTTAAAAACATATTGCTGACTGTTCGTTCATGTTAGCTAATGCATTTAGTACTGTTAACAAATAAAAAGCGTTACCAAAATTATAAACAGAAGCATTTGCAGAAACGCTTTACAATAAGGTTCTATTTGTTAATGCATTAGCAAATAATTCTAAAACATTTCATAATCTGAGTTAATGTTAATTTCAACATAAAAATAAAGGTTTTATCTGTTAATATTAATTAATGGACCTGAGCAAACATGAACTGACAATGAACTTGTATTTTTATTAACTAACGTTAACGAATATTTATAAATACTGTAACATATGTATTGCTCATTGTTAGTTAATGCATTAATTCACATTAACTAATGGGACTTTATTGTACTATTGTATTATTTCACTAGTGGTCTCATACTTTTGGACCCCACTGTATCTCTGAATTAATTGCTGAATTTGATTTTATTATTATATAATTATTGTTTAAAAATTTAGTTATATATTTATATATTGTCATTCATCCGTTCTCACCTCTGAGCCTTCCTGTCCAGTGTCTTCTGAGTGACCGAGGACAGAATCCGTGTGTTTCCAGGACTGTCTTTGTCCTGCTCAGAAGAAAGCGCCGTCAGTGTGAGTGTGTGTGTGTGTGTGTATGTGTGTGTGTGTGTGCGCGTTTTTGTGACAAAAGAGGACATAAATTTGTATAATGACAAGGGTATGACATAGGTATTACAAGGAGAAGGTGACTTTTCAGGACATTACCCCATGTCCCCACTTTTCAAAACGCTTATAAATCACACAGAATGGAGTGTATTGAAAATCTGAAATAGCACAAAGTTTCCTGTAAGGGGTAGGTTTAGGGGTAGGGTTGGTGTAGGGCAATAGAATATACGGTCTGTACAGTATAAAAACCATTACGCCTATGGGATGTCCCCACTTTTCACAAAAACAAACCTGTGAGTGTGTGTGTATGTGTGTGAGTGAGTGTGAGTGTGCGTGCGTGCGAGGGAATGTGTGTGTGTGTGTGTATGTGTGTGAGTGAGTGTGAGTGTGCGTGCGTGCGAGGGAATGTGTGTGTGTGTGTGTATGTGTGTGAGTGAGTGTGAGTGTGCGTGCGTGCGAGGGAATGTGTGTGTGTGTGTGTATGTGTGTGAGTGAGTGTGTGTGTGTGCGAGTGAGTGAGTGTGTGTGTGTGCGTGCGAGTGAGTGTGTGTGTGTGCGTGTGTGTGAGTGTGTGTGTACCATCTCTCTGAGTGTCCTCTCTCTGCGTATCTCTCGGTCCTGCTGCAGTAGACTCAGTCTGTCTCTCACAGGCCACACAGTGAAGATCTGATGGACGTCATGCAGCGCTGATCGCAGCTGTGACACACACCAGACACATGAATGTCACACGTACACACAGTCATGCTGTAGGGTACACAGGTGTGTGTGTGTGTGTTACCTGAGCTGTGACGCGCTGATATAAGGACAGATCCTGATGGGAGACAGAGACTCTCTTCAGCTGGGAATCCGTCTGGAAGGAGCGGATGAGATCCCTGGAGTCCTGAAGAACATTCACACGGCTCATGTTTGGGAAGTACATTCATGTCTCAGTGTGTGTGTGTGTGTGTGTGTGTG